TGCTTATAGAAAAAAAAAAAAAAAAAAAAAAAATTAGCATTACTGAAATAATGTTGATACTGAAATAATGTTGAACCTGGTATTTTTTTTAGCTTTTTAACAGAGAGATGCAGACCCGCAGCAGTAAGTTTCATTCTTGGGTAGATCCTGGCTAGTTTAAGACCACAGGCTTTGTGATATGATCCCATGGCAAAAGTATTTCCTGCTGAGAGATCATCATGCCAAACAGTCAGAAGATGCATCATCCTAATGCAGAAAGCAAGCATTTCTGGGGGAAAAAAAGAGAAAAAAAAGAAAAAATAAATAAAAGGGTTCTGGCTATCTTTTACTTTTCTAATATTTTCAGAAGGGCATCACAGAGATAATTCTTATGCAGCACATGCTTTCTACTCACTATCCTCTTGGCATACTACATAATGACTTTATGAAATATCAACTTGGAAGGGACAAGAGTGTATCTAAGTTAATGTTGGACCTGCTTTTAAAACATCATGTTGTCTGTGAAATGACTGTATTTTTTTTATTTGATTTCTTCTGAAGAGATATTCATAGAAGATGCAGTTCTCAGAATAAATACCATATACAGATGTGTCTTTGATAGAATTATATTTTGTTTAGGTGCTTGGGCTGAGAATTTCCCCTGTGTTTGTATCTGTTGTTTGCTCTGGAGGATTTACATTACGGACATGGAAGAACTGTAAAGAAATCTTGTAATACTTGTACGTTCGTGAATAAAGAACCTAGCAAAGTAGGACAAGCATGCAAAGTTTGTAGTTAGCGATTTGTGAAATAATATGTATCAGAATGCAAAATGAGAACAGTCATACTAAAAAAGAGTAACTTTGAAAAGGTCAGCATACATGCTTAACAAATGCCACTGTCAAGGACCTGTTTATGAGAGTTCCAGCAAAAGAAAATAGTTTTCCCAGAGAAATGGAAAATCTGATGATTTTTGCTTTATGGGGGACATGATGGCTGTTAGTTTGACATTAGGAAATAAATAAATCCAAAATTAGATCTTGAAGAAAGTCTTTCATATTTCTGAGAAGCACCTAGGATTTTGTGTCTACATCAGTGTTCTGAGACAATTTTAACAGGATTCCTTCACTTGTTCTTTCTTACTGGATGGTCTCATTTTTAGGGCACGGTGTTTAAACAAGAAGATTAAACAATGGTCTTTTCCCCTATAATATTATCTGAGTTTTCTCAAAGTGAGATTACAATCCATCTGACTTTTGCTTACGGAATAAGATAATTCAAGAGATGCTCTTGTTTGTTGGACTAATGGCTCGTCTATCCTCATGTGTCTTCATGACAGTGGAAATAGGACATTCAATTCAGGGAGAGTGTGTGGTCCTCTCAGCCTTCTGTGGTCCATTTCCTTTGTACTCTGTTGGCATGCACTGTTTTTGGATTAGCGATGTTAAAGGGGACATCCCTACCTGCATCCTTCAGTATCTGTTTATGGCGTTCTTTTTTTTTGTAGCTTGAATTTATTCTTTCTTATTCATACACAAAATATGATTTTCTCATTTGTACAAACATCTGTACAGTGAACAAAAAGTTATGTTTGCTAGAATTTATTAGGAAAAGTATTAATCTACATATGCATTTCTAGGACAATAAATACAACATTAAGGGAAAACACATGTAGCAGAAGCACCATTTTGGCAAAGAAGTTTAGTTTATGCAGTAAAAAATTCCCTGTTCTGTTTGTTATTAAGAAATTGCATATAGTACCTTCTCTTCCTTAATATGTTTCTCAAGAAACAGGATGTTACTTTCAGCAAACATGCAGGATTTTTAGATGGGGAATCTTTTTGATTCTGAAAACTCTATTAGTATTAATTGCAAGTTTAAAAAAGCACCTCAGTGTATTCACACTGATAGTGTAGGCATATCTACAGTATAATTTCTGACATTTCAATAAGTGCAGCCATGCATACAGAATCCCTTCTAGGATCAAAGTGGTGGCATATGAAGCCGAGTCTCCTGTCCTAAAGGCATTTCACATTCTCTTTCATAAATGTATCATTTTTTCATCTTGAAAACAGTTAGATATGTGTGGAAAAACAAGCCCAACCTCCCTATTGGAAGGCTCCTCCAAACACTAATGCCTTGATAGCTGAAAATCTAACTTTCAGACTGATTTTCTGCTGGTTATTCTTGTGCCATCTCTGTTCTTCAGACTGAACAATTTTTCTCCTTCCCTTGTGCTTGTAATGCTCTTATCCTCCCCGCAGTATATATTTTCTACTGGATCTACTTCATTAAGATTAAGCTTTTAGTTCTCTCACAATAATTCTCCCTTCCTACTACTCATTTTAACAGCCTTCCTCTGCGTTTGTTCCAGCTAAGTACATGCTTCCTACACCTGAGCACTTTGAATACTGGGCAGCTTTCCTAGCCAAGTTGTTGCAGTTCCTTACATGAAAATTTTAATAATTTTCTCTTTTTTTTTTTTTTTTTTTTTTTTTTTTCTGAGATCTAATTTAGTACATTTCAAAATGAAATAAATCTGGTTAATGGGCACACCAGATTGGTATCCCAGCCATTTTGGATGACATTCATCTTACCTAGTTTTAAGCACTCCTGAGCTAGTCACCACAGGCCCCTTTTATAATCAGAGACACTTTACAGTATGATTAATCTGATCTATTTTTAGTGATTCTAACTGCATGAAATCTGCTGTGCCCTAGAAATACTCTTCACTGACCATGCTAAACAAATATCTCATTTAGAGACATCTATCATCTATGCTGGATCATCTGAAGAGCTTATTTTGTAGTTCATTAATATAATCAGGTCCTTCATTTCCTCACAAGGTTTCAAATAACAACAGAAGCAATAATAACCACAGATATAACATTGCAGTTTGCACTGCAGACTTTCACCTTGTTTCTGTTCCTCCCGGTCTCTGTTTTGTGAACTGAGTTTATTCTGAGTTGACAGTACTTTTGTACTGCATACTGAAAATGACTCTTCTACTATACCTTAAAAACACAAACAACAGTAACCAGAGGCTACTGTTCACTTCCCCTCAAAAACTGTTGTTTCCCTCAAAAAAAGAAAAAAAAAAAAAAAAAAGAACAAAAAAACAAACAATTGTTTGGTAATGATTTGTCTAGACTCATGTTTGACAATTGATATTCTAGGTTATATCACAAGAAGAAGCAACATGTGTTTTAGGAAAGGAGATTGCTGTGCTACTTGCAAACAAAAACAAGATACCAAGTTTTGATCAAATTCCCACCTCATAAATAAAAGGACGTAGAAGTGGGGGAGTAGATTAGGTGTTGTGAGCAATTCAGCTCTATAAAAACTCCTTAACTACATCTTCTAAACAAGGGTTTTATTTAATATTTATTTTAAAAGTTAAATAAAAATATTTAAAAAGATGAACATTGAAATTTGTGAAAGAAATACAAACACAGATTATTATCTTCTTCATTGGAACAATGATGGAACTTCACAGAGAACAGATGGAAATCAGAAGGCAGTCAATACCTCCACAGACAAATTGGTGCAGTTACCGTACCGTGTGATCTCACAGTGGATTGATATTTAAAAATTTGCTACAGCTGAATCTTAAGAATTTACCTCAAAACATTAAGATATAAACTATGCAATGAAGAAAGTGTTACTACTATACCAGTGCTTCCTTGGTCACTTTTTGGCTCCTGTGGTCACTTTTTGGCTCAGACACCAAGACTCAGGAAACACTCAAAAATGTCAATGCCTTACTACTTCATTTCCTGAGCAACTCAACCAAAATGGATAAACTTCCAGATAATTCAGGCTTAAAGACAAATTTTCAGGTACTAGAATGCAGTCTAAGAAATACATCTGCTGCAAGTGTATTCATTAAATAGATTATATTAACTTAGAACTTAGTTAAGTGAATTATTTAAAAATTATTAGTACTTCTAAATTCCCATTTTCCTGTCTGTAGTCACATTTCTGTGTGTTCTCTACTTGGCGTTGCAGTGCTGTGTTCAGTTTTAGCCTCCCTGAGTAAGAGCAGTTCTGACAAATGTCAAAGGATCATTAGCTGGGGAGTCTTCTACGTGCTGCTGACACAAGGATTGTAGGGAAGATGGAGATGGAGTCTTTGCTGAGGTGCTTGTGAAAGCTTGTGAAGGGAAGCTCACAGGCTGCAGCGAAAGGAATTGCAATTTGACAGAAGTAAAAAAAATCCATCATGATGGTGGTCAAGCAGAGGGAAAGCTCATGAGGATAGCCCATGGACTTCAGGGGTTGTACAGACCTGGTCCAGGTCCTGAGCTACCTACTAGGATACTGAGCACAACCAGGGGTACTGCTGAATAGGAGGCTGAACTAGGTGACCTGCAGGGCTCCTGTCCCATCAGGTTTCTCTGTCAGTCTTTGTCCGTCTTCTAGCTTGTGCTAGCTCCTAGAAGTTCATTATTAATAAGCAGAGATATGGTTAACAAGCTGTCTACTTCACAAAATGAATATGAATCTTTGTGTCCTGATGTATCTTCATGTCACAAAAAAATAATTAAATCTTGACTTTATTTGCATACATAGCTCAGCACGTGACTGAATGTACAGCCAGGAAGAGATTGCCCCAGTCTGTAGCATGATAAAAGATGGTGGATTCTGCAAGATAGCAGGCAGTGAAGCAATGACATAGTTGTGGCCTGCAGCCTACTGCTGCCTGCCTTGCTGTAGCTGTGGGGCAGCACGGCTGGGAGCGGGGCTGGCCATGCCATGTGGAGGAGCAGCAAGGCAGGCTGTACTGTGGTACTGGGTCACAATATTGCCTGACACCTGGCAATTCCTTTAAACCTGTTAACTTGCTGAAGGTCATCAAGTCTTGAGAAAAAGAAATATATATATATTTTATCAGTGTATTTTGTAATATACTTTATATCACTGTATTTGTTTCTTTGAAAGCGACTTTATTTAAAAAAATCAAGAGGCTGATTTATTGCATGAATCCATTATCCTTGTTTGATGAGCTGTGTTTCTTTCAGGTGTCCATCTGCAGTTCAGTTTTGCAGCGGAATCATTTGTATCACTTCACTAACTGGTAAGTCCTGAGATCATTATTTAATGTTTGTATTACCATGTCACCACCAACAAATTCAGGTACTTCCTTTCCTGGCATGGAGATGGGTAAGACTCTCATCTCCTCTGACATGATTCCCACAGCACGTAGTCATAGTGCTGGCAGGGTGTTGGGACCACAGTGGAGGCACAGTCAGGCCTGTGATGGCTGGCAGTCATGAACCTGGCCTGGCTAGGATGGTGCTGCAGGGCTCTGCAGCTTTTTCTAGTTGGAACATAACTCTACACCAGCAGCACCAGAAATGGGTCTACCATCTTAGTGCTGTTAAATTGGATAGGAGTTTTGTCATGGTCTTCTTCACTCAGAAGAAAATTTCACCTTAAGTTTCTAAGAAATATTTAGTGGCTATCTTCTTGCTTGTGGGAAGGCTGACGTTGTCTTGATGTGATTCTAAATATTTTTCCTTAAAGATGCGACTAATTACCTCAGTCCTTAAATGGAAAGTCATAGTGTTTAAAAAATCAAAATGCACCACTGGCCATGTAATTAAGTTGTTTATATTTTGTTTTACTAGTCCTTTGCATTCTGTCTTTGAAGCAGGAAATAAATATATATATTTTTAATCCATTATAGAAAGAGTGATTAATTGCAAAAACAAACTGTCAAAATTTTGCCTTTTGCATAATTTAAATTTATCTGGATATCTGGCTATTATTCTCTGCTGGCATCTATAAATGGTAGTTGTTTTCTCATGATCACTGTTACATCAGGTCAGCTGAAAAAGATTTGAAATGTCTTCTCGGTTTTCAGGTTTTATTACTCTTCCTTCACCTCTTTCTGTTTTTCCCATATCCTTTTAAAAATATGAAAGAATTTGTAAACATTACTCTGATTACTACTGTTACTGCAGCTGGAGCAAAAAGCAATCCTCTGTAACCCTTACTTTACTGGCCATTTGCTGGCCAGGACCTTATACTGAACTGTAGACCCCAGCGCTTCCACTGTACACTTCTGCAGTATCTCTTTCAGTTTGTCTTTCTGATCTAAGGATGACTTTTGAATGTGTGGGTTTCATACAAATTTGCATTCTCCACTTAAAACCATTTTGGCTAGGTTCATCCTTAGCGTTCCTTGTTACCATTGCTTTTCTTCTTTCTTCAGATGTTAGAAATTGCTTACTTTTGTGGATTCTGCTCATGCTTCCAGTTGATGTGAATGTGGGATCTCAACATAACAAGCCATAAGGAAAAGCTTATGCAAAGGTCTTTTGAATAATGCTGTATCTACAGATATTCTTCAGTTCAAAAGATTTTGATTTTGGATGTCAGGCATGTAGTACACATCCGTGTAAATTGGATGCATATTTCTGGTTTACAGAGGGGGTGAACAATAAAAAGTGAAATACTCAAGAATATGTGCCATAAGTGTGAAGTACAAGTATAGGTGGCTGCTAAATGTTGAATTAGTAGAAATTAGCCATATTACTGTACTCTCAAAAAGCACAGTCACCAGCACATTTAAAATGAAGCAGGTGATAGTAGCCTAGCTTTTTCTATCAAAGAAACACTGGACTTCATGGTGATGGCATTCCTAAACTCAGACTTGATGTCAACAGTTTGACTTTTCTTCATTTTCTTTCTCTCTCAAAGACTTTACAATCACCATTTCTTTTCCTTGTGCTTCCATTTCTTTCCCTCCTGCTTACATTTCCTCCTTTTACTGTGGATTTTTTGTTAGGCCTTGTTTCCTTTCTTTCATTTTTGATTTTTCAGAGATCAGATCTTCTCTTTTACTCTCCTTGTTTTCTCTTACTAATTTATTTGTCCATAAAATCCAGGTCATTTTTCTTACTTTGTGAACTTCTCATCCTATCACTGTAGTTATTTATTTTATATATGTGAGGAAAATTTTCTCCTGTGTTGTCTTTTGGCCTATAAAATTAAAAGAAATTATAAAAAATTATAAGGAGAAAAGAATCCGAATATGTACATGGACAACAGTGGAAGACAGCTGTCCAAACAGGCTGCATATTTGGTCATTGTTTTATTGGAAGATAAGTCTGTTTTATGCAATAGAATGTGCATTTTTGATATTTTCTTTGCAGCCAGCAGAACAGCTGAACATAAACCCACACAATCATTTTGAATACTACTAGTACTGGTAGAAAAAGAGTGAAGTCCTCTTTTTATAATATATGTTATTTTGTTCTGGAAATTTTCTTTCAGAAATAAGGTGAAGTTTTAAAAAAAAAAAAAGGATAAAGATCATACTTTGTCTGGAAACTATGAATGAACTACTACTAAAAATATAGATAATTTGGCAAGTAATGCCTCCTATTTATTTTTATGGAAACAAGAAAGGATATGAAGAGCACAATAACAATATTTGATAGAGCAAATTCTCAGCTAAAAAGCACTCTTTTTCAACATAATCACCACCGTTTGTTATGTATTTTTCACCAACAATGTAAAAAACTTGCACAACTGGTGGACTGGAGGTAACTCACTGTTGCTGTCACCACAGCTGAAACACACCACCTCATTGTGCTCACATCCACTATTTGATATCCATAAATATTCTGCAAGCATCAAGTAATGTCAGTGGGCACAATTTCTTTTGCATGGAGGAATTCAGTGACACACCTTTGCTTCATATGTACTTCCACGTCATGTGCAATTTTGTCATTCTGCCCCTCTGCTGCCATCTATCACACAGCAACAAAATGTAATGGTATCTTGGCAGGAAGGTTAAACCTCTGCTTCCATGCATCTTTCTCTGATGTTGTGGGCCGACATAATAAGATAGGAGGCATTACTTTCGGAGTAGCCCTCATGTGTTTTTTAGAGTAGTCCTTTTCCACCATGTTGCATTATTTTCACAGTTACTGCCTATGTGGAAAAAAACTCTTCCAACGAGCAGAAGCTGATGTTAGATTCCACACTGAAGGAAACATAGTCTATGTGTAGCACAGTATGTGCTATCTGCATTGTTTTTGTTGTAGATGATACTTTGAATTTCTTCTAAGTTAAGAAGAGGTCTGCTCACTCTATGTATTTGATAAACCAATATAAATGAGATTTTGCATTTGCTTCCATTCTGTAGAGCCTTTTAGATATTTTTATTACTAGCATATATTGTAAAGTTCATTATGGTATTGAAAGTAATGTAGTTCATTTGGTACTGAAAATTATTCTTGGAAAAAACAATGACTTGGAGTAGCACATCTGTGTATGTATATATATATATATATATATATTTTTTTTTTTAAGCTTCCGGAATAACCTGATCAAAATTGAGCTTAGCTGCTAGTAGAAAACTTTATTCTCCAATTTTTTCATTAAACAGAAGGAATCTGGAATAGCTTTATATGTAGGGAAAAAAAGAAAAAGAAAAAAAAAAACACCCAACAGCATTTCTTTTTCTCTCTTACGGAAAAACCCAAATATAAAGAATGCCATTGTTTGCTGCACATGTGGCAACGTCTGGTTTATATTAAGTTGAAGTTACTGCCATCTGGTGGTGAAAATAGTACTATATCAGTGCAACTGGAAGCAATTCTGTTAGGGTTTCTTTCTCTAGGAAAGAAAAGGAAACCTTGAGAAGTGAATATTGTGTGTCTGTGCACGTGTGTGAGTGTATATATGGGAGGGGGGGGGGAGGCATATATGTATACAGGTGTATATAAAGGCATATCTTAGCATTTGGAGATAGTTTTAAAAGAACTTGAAAATATTCAAAGATAGAGAATGGCCTGCTGAACCACAGATGAGTCAAGAGTATGAAACTGTGAAAGAAAATATGGAAAACATAAGAGGAAGGCAGCAAAATGTAAGTTGAGATACTGTCAGAGCATCCATAGTTTGGGCTTAGGTTAATGCATATAAGCACGTATTAAATTTATCCCCAGAAGATTTTGTACAGTAGGAATTTTTATGTTGTTTTTTTAGGGGGGGTTGCACTTTGTATGGTAGAGATCACCACTAATTGCTGCAAAAACACTTGAGCTGGCTCTGTTTTAATGCTACGTTCCTTACTTAGACTTTGGTGCAGTATATTTGTTCCTCTTTGAATCTGGACATGTCCTTGTATTGACTGTTATGATTTCTGAATGAACAGCCAGTAGGAATGGATTTTTATCTGTACTGATTAATGTATCAGTAGAGTCTGTGTGGCATCTTACACATATTATGCAGTAACTAATAAAGAGATACGCAGTTTGAGACAATGACAGATAACTATCTTCAATAGTAAGCTGTTCAGTAATCATGTAAGTATACTAACTTGTGTCCAGAACTTGCTCTGCTTTCATTGTTATAGTGTTGGAAGGCCTTAGTCAAGATTAGGTCTCTCTTATGTACAAGTATAAGTAGGCTTTGTTCTCATACATGGTGTTCTCATACTGCTGCTAGAATGCAGTAGAAGTGGTCCTTTGTACTTAATCTGAAGTTTGTATCAAAAATGTATCTTCTAACTACCTTCCTCTGATGTTGAGTCAAAGGCAAGTAGGGGGATCTAAGTATCTCACATGATTCATAGCGGCTTAGTCAGCGTCCACAGCCCTCTGGCTGCATGTTTATCTCCTGATGGTAGCTCAGATTTTATCAGCAAGCAGTTGCTGCTGTTAGTTAAGGTAAGGCTAGAGGAGGCATGCGTGGCCTCAGCATTGCTCAGCCATGGCTGTTTCCAGACTCTCGTATCACAGGTTACTGAGAAACAATCAATACAGGCTTGAAGAGAGCCTCTGCACTCCGAGTCCTGTCTAGAAAGAATTGCAAGGGTTCACTTGACTGAAAAGATGTGCTTCCTAAGTAGAGGAAATTTCCATCCCTATCCTACACTGAGAAGCTTATGTGATTCTTGATTCATACATTTACAAAATACTTGATCAAGTCTTTTTGCTCTTAGCCACAAAAAATTCTATTTTCAAAACAACAGGTGACCTGTCCTACAGTTTTGCCAATTCAGCAAAAAACTTAATGATACTGGTGTTCTGCACAGCTTTTAGAGGTTACTGAAAGGGTTAAGTACGGCTGCAGATATTTCTCATCTCTCATCATTCTTGTTTATTTTGTTTAAAATTCTTTTTCACTTGGTTGGATTTTTCTGCCTCTTGTAGTTTTTTTGTTTGTATTTTGTCTTCTTCCTTTTTCTGAACTCTCTAGGAGTCGGAGTCCTGCCCAGATAACATCTTTCAAAAGGAAAACCATTGACCTTGTAATCCTGTCATTCTGTTTTTAAGACTACATAGCACATGCAGGTGTCTGATTTCTTCATAGGTTTTAGAGGAAGTACGTTTTCATGACTTTGCAATGTAATTGCCTCATTGTTTTTCAAGGAGACAGACACTTTTCTCACAGTAAGTCTCTTACGGGAAAGGTTTGACAGTGGTAGTTAGAGCACTGGATGGTACATGAGCACATATTAAGGGAGTACTTCAAACTCAAGCCCACAGCAGCTTACCAGA